AATGTTCGTGAAGAGAGCCTCATACAATAAGATCAAAGCTCTTGAACAAATGACCTCTAAAACTGATGAAACACTTCAAGGAATTAAAGTAGTGCTTTCATTCGCTTAAGAAGAAAAAGAAATTGAGTAATTCCGAGAAATGGCTGAGATTACTAAGAGTTAATCAATAAAATCTGAATACTGGACTGCTGCTTTTATTGGAATTTTGAAATTTGTTATTTTCAGCTTTTATGGTATTAACCTTTGGATAGCTACTATATACATCGATGAACAAAGAATAAACCCAAATACTGGCAAAGTTTATACAATAGGAAATATTTTCACAAATATATTCAGCATTTTAAATTGTACTTCTATGGCATTTCAACTAATTCCTAATATATAAGCAATAGTTAAAGCTAAAATAATTGGGAAGTAAATATTTGATGTGATCGATAGATAAAGTCCATAAAAGCAATTAGTCAAACATCAGGAATAATTGCCTAATTTCTCAACAATAACCTTTAAAAATATAACATTCAAATACTCTTCATAGTAGAATGATATGCTGTAAAATATTAATCTACTTATAAAGGGATAGACATCCACAGTCATAGTTGGAGCTTCAGGATCTGGAAAAAGTACTATAATTTAACTGCTAGAAAGGTTTTATTCGCCAAATCTAGGTGAAATTCTAATTGATGACGTCAATATAAATAATATTTCACTTAGAGCTTTGAGGGAGTCTATTGGCTATGTCTAGCAAGAGCCGATATTACTTCAAGGTACAATAAGAGATAACATTTTATTCGGAAACAAAGATGCAACTGAAGAAGAAATTCAGAACAGTTTAAGAAAAGCAAATGCATCATTTGTGTTCGATCTCGAAAATGGAGTGGACACGTATGTTGGTACCAGTTCATTAGTTAATCTATCTGGTGGTCAAAAGCAAAGAATTGCAATTGCAAGAGCATTGGTTAAGAACCCAAAAATACTTATTTTGGACGAAGCAACAAGTGCACTAGATCCTAAGAGTGAATAAGAAGTCTAAGAAGCCATTTTCAATATTCAAAATTAAAATATAGATAAACAAACTAGTTAGTAGAAAATCACAATAATAATGAT